AGGTTAATTAGCCATTTAGATGCAGATAGGAGTTGAAGAAAAGACTATGACTTATGAACTCAGTTTGTTGCAAGAAGCATCTCTCTTTGGGAGATTGCATATATGATCAGTAGCTGTGTCTGCTGCAGAGTGGCAACTATCAGGCTTTGAGATGGAGAGATTATAAAATCTACTTCTCTCCACAGTTAACTGAGGTGGTTAAGTGAATAAGAGGCATGTTTAAGAGTTTAGCTCACAAGTTTTCTAGCTTTCCATCCTATCCTTGTTTCAACCAGAGTTTTCCTTTAACTGGTTAGTCTTGATCAAAGACCCCTGAGCTGACCAGGTCCAGTGTTTTACATGGAGGCTGCTCAGAATGGTTCTTCCCCAAGGGGCTATCCCAAACTGGAAGTTGGTCCTTGGAAAGCAGTCTACATGATTGCTCTGGCTAGTCCCACTCCCAGATGCCCAGAGGGGTTCAGCTCTGAGTACTCACCTATCCGCAGAGAAAAAAAATGGTCATCCTACTCAAGGTTCTCAATTTTACTATTGGCACAGAGTTATTTTAAAGTTTCTATTTAAAATATTTACAGTGGAGGGCCGGGCATGGTGGTGCACGCCTGTAGTCCCAGCTACTCGGGAGGCTGAGGCAGAATGATTGCTTGAGGCCAGGAGTTTGAGGTTACTGTGAGCTAGGCTGACGCCATGGCACTCTAGCCCGGGCAGCAGAGTGAGACTCTGTCTCAAAAAAAAAAAAAAATATTTACAGTGAGGTTCAAGATGAAAATCTCCACACCAGGGGTTGCAAACTGATGGTTCACAGGCTGCATCTGGCTTGCAGGAATGTTTTATTTGGCCTGCATGGTATTTTATTTTTTAAATTTTGAATTGGTTGCCAACACTTAAAATTTGGGAAATGCCAGTTATCAAGGTTGTGTGGGAGAATGGGCTCACATTCTTGCCTGGTACCAAATGAGAAAGCAGTGAATGTCAACTGCCCCTTTAGGCAGAGCTTGAGCTCTAGATTTGTCATCCACTGTACACCCTTCTCCCCTAGTCCTGTTCTGCTCATTCCTGCTACTGACTGGCCCCTAGAGGTGAGTATGACCTCAGACTCTTGCCACCTTAATGTCGCCATCTGTATGCATGTTATCCTTTTCAAAGTGCTTTCACATAATATCTTTGGTTCTCAGCATTCCTGCTTTGTTTCTTAAGTCACTGTGAGACTATCTGTTAAACCACTCTGGGCAACACATACCTGGGGGGGCCACAAAATACTCTTCCACGACACGATGAGAGTTTTGTAGTAGTTCTTCAGCACAGTTGCCTTCAACTACATTGTCGGATCTCAAGTATAGACATCTACGAAACCCAGAAGCTCAAGGTTACTTTCTCAGAAAATTGGTCTTCTAGGGCACAGTAGACAGGGTCGGTCAAGAATGGGAGAACAAGGGAGCAGTATATTCTTCAGTTAAGGGCACTGCTCAAAGATAGAGCAGCTGGGGTCAACAGTAGACCAAATAACAGTCTATAGTGTATAGATGCCCCCCAACAACTCTTGTAAGTGCTAATTATTTCTCAGGATTTGATATGTCTAACATATTTTTGGATGATTACTATGAATTTTTGGTGGGGACAGGTAAAGGCAATAATAAAACAATGTGTTAAAACTGACAGAAGTAAGCAAAGCCTGCAAAGGGAATAGAAAGGGTTCCTAACCCAGCCTGGGTGAGGAGTACATACTAAGAATACATCACATCACTGCTCAAGAATGGGCAAGAAATAGCTGGGTTGGGTGTGGGGGGTGGGGGATGTGGATAGGAAATGCACTTCCTAGCAGGTACAGCAGCATAAATCCCAAAGCAAGAGAGAGCCCAGCAGATTCAGAGGACACGGAGTTTAGCAGGCTGCAGCGTAGCCCCCTTGAAGCAGAAGAGGAAGCTAGAAACCTAAGCAGAGATGGAGGAGAAAACTTGCTCAAGAGTGACCTGCTTAAGGATGTTGGCTAAGTGATAGAACTGGAATCTGAGCCCACTCTGGTACCCCTAAGATAAATGCTTTTCCCACCAAAGCCACCTTGGGGGATATAAAAGTGCCTACCCTGAGCAAGATGTACCACAAGCATAGTTCAGGAAACTCCCAGTGCTCTCTGGGCCTAGTTGCTTTACTTGTCTTCAGATGGCAAACTGGTGAAACCAAACAGGGGCTTAAACATAGGCATGAAGTGTCACAATTGCTTCAAGGTATAAAAGTGCATGACAAGATGTCTGAGCCTGTTTCCAGATACTTGGGCTAAAAAATAAGCAGTCTGTTAAATCACTGATGGGGGGCAGCCAAGCTCTTTTTGCCTTGAGTGGACACGGACTGAGGGCAAACCCTAATGTTCTTTGAGTCACGTCACGAAGGGGCAAGGATGTGATGTGAACATCTGAGCAAAAGCTGCACATGAGGGCTAAGTTCTCACAATAAGATTCTTTTAGGGGGCCAGGCGCGGTGGCTCACGCCTGTAATCCTAGCTCTCTGGGAGGCCGAGGCGGGC